CAATTTTATTGTCGCGATGAAATGTTCGTCAAATGTTTTCCGATTTTGTTAATAAAGCAGTTTAATAGCACTCAATAATATGCGACTGTTACTGGTCTATCCTCCTAAGGATATTCCGCCGCCACCGTCTGAGACTTTCATTTAGATTCGTTATGCGATTCCAACGTGCAGTGGTAAGCCCAAGTCTCATCCAATATTACGGAATAACGGACCTTAAACATTTCTAAATTCTTCTTAAAATCGGTCATAAGAATGCTTTTTTTTCTCGAAGAGAATATAGCACTCATCTTGTATTGATTCATATCAGACGTTCGCGAACACAGATAGCTTACGTAATTTCAATTTCGATTGTTCAATGTTATGTCTGGGATTATTTTAATGGTCTCTGCTGCTGTAATTGTTTAATTTAAAGATCTAAAGGATGCTCATACCACGCTCTTGTGCGATCGTGTATAAATTCGACCATTTGTTAACCATTCACCAACTATATTATCGGGCGGCGAAAACTGTTTGGCGAGTCGTCTTTAGGTTTTTTTTGTGTTTATTCTTTCAAAAAATAGCATTTAATCACAGTACAAAATTCACTGTGTTTTTAGTGAAAGCAATAAAAATAAACAAAGCTGTTAAGTGTCTATGGCGGGCCAACAAGTAGTGAAGCTCCGCGTGTGTTTGTCCGGACAAAGTAAGCTTGGGCTTGGCTTATTCATGACCAATTATGAGAATATTGTAAATACCCAATTATTGTGGGCTCCCACAGAATTCAATTAGAAGCATGCTGCTCATAATTTAGGCATTCTTTGCTATACATGAGGCCGAGCCAAAGATGGAAAAGCGGCGAAAGAAACGAGCGCTACCGCCCCAAGTCTTGCATTTTTCAAGCATGTGTATATGTACATTGAATATCGACTTCTACCTTGTAATACGCGTTGCGGAAGGTATTCCAATGTCGACTTCTTTTCCATCTTTCCGTCTTTCTTTAACAATCCTTAAAAGTGTTGTGTTACGTAAGAAGGCAAAAAAGCTATTATCGACTTCAGTGAGATTAGTAAGACTTACGTAGTTGCATAAAACTTTCGTAATTCTTCGGTATCTTAAAAGCATATAAGAACATCGATTTGGATGCTATTAAAATTGAATATATGGCATATATTTGTAAATGATTAAAAAAGAGGTTATTATAAGAAGATTTTCAATTGCAAAACTCATCAATAAATTAATTTGATTACATCCTTGAAATTTCTTGAACGAAGTAACTCGCTGTTATTTACAAATTTAACGCTTGGAACTTCACCATTGTTCATTGCTTTTGGTTTTTTTTTTTGTTGTTTTATAGGAACGATTAAATTTTACATTTCATTTCTAATACTTAAACAATGCTTTAAAATGTGCGCTAAATTTGATGCTCTTTAGACAATTTACCAAACATCAGGTGTATAAGTTTTTTCCTTCTCTTCCGGTAAAAACGTAACAACCGAAAAACAGAATTGCTTACATATTGATACATTCTGACAATGAATTGAGATGCAGACGCAACGATTGAAGACTGAATGTAACAGATTTGTAAAAAAGAAGACATGAAAGAAGATTTTATGTACACAGAGAAGTATATAGCTTATGATAATATGCAAAAGGGTTGTTTGCTGTATAATGACATATTGTACGTGCTTTGTTTCATGATAGGAGATTTAAAGGGAAATATCTAAAAATGAAGTAAAAAATGTTTATAATATTTTCAATATTTACTTTAAAAAATTTTTGTATTAAATCTATTTTCAACAAGTAAGAAAATTATGTTCGATCATAACCGAATCATTTTTATTCATTACGTCCTAAAATGGACTAAAAAAAAGAAAAGAAGCATATATTCATAATATGAAAAGTGCGGCAGGCGCGGTTGATATCAAAATAAAAACGGAAATTTGTATGATGCACGGGTTGTGCTATATAAGTAACAAACAAAAAACAAAGATATTCAGTTTGTGCTCTATAGGCATTACAAAGATGTGGACATTGTTGGCCTGCCCTTTGACCGGTTTAGGTCATTTTCAGATTCTTTTGCAAATTCGTAGGTGATATCTTCATTTTCATCGAGAATGTTTACCACAGGTACTACACTATTGGGGAGAGAGATAGATGGACAGACAAACAGACGGGCCTGCTTGGGTGCATTCCGATTAAGATAATATAAACTTAAGGGAGTATTTTAAGTTTGATTCTGGTATTGAAAAACTCCTTAAACTTTGATTTACTATAAACCTAGGTACACGTGGCCAATTTCTGCATCTGCTATTTTTGCAACGCTCATAGAGTAGATTGTCATGTTACAATTTATTAGTAATAAGGAAAGAGCCTATTTTTTATTTGAAAAAACAGTTCTCAGTTTTCGTAGCACTGTAGGTGCGTCCTTCGATGGATTTGGCCTATTATCAATAATAACCTGCATTCAGGAACTTAAGGTCACGGAAAAGAGAACGTTTACAACAGACATAACGCAGACGGACAGACGGTCATACTTAATCCATTCAGAATTTGATGCGGACTAAGAAAATATACATTTTGTGGGGTCTCTGTGTCTTCCTTCTGAGCGTTGCACACGTTCTAACACAATGAAAATGCATCTTATCCTTCGATGAAGGGTATAAAAATATGTATACTTATATCTTCACATATTTATGTATATATATATATTTAAAATCACGTAACTGCTTTTTCTATCTCTTAACCGGAAAGTTTTTCAATTTTCCTACTTTCACTTTCACGTTGTTGTCTATGGAACTTGAATGGAAATGTTTTTAATTTAAGATTTTTTCTTTTTAATTTTCTTGCTTTTCTTCTTCTATTCCGTTCGTGAAAAATGGTGTAGCCTCTATCGAAACCACATTAACTAATGACGAGGCCATGGGGTAAGTGAGAAAAACAGCAAGCAAAAAATACCAAGACTGCATAACATGCATAATTAACTCATTTTGTTGGAAAACATTGTGGCTGTAAAGAACAATGTGGCACTTAAAAAACAGACATGCACAAACATACCCACATTAACTATTTATTTTCGCTGAGTTCAAAAAATGGCATACCTTAGATATAAAAGTACGAAAAATATGATAACTTCGTTTACTGTTACAATTTTGTTCGAAAATTTAATCAAAAGGCCAAAAGTCTATTTAATCCAATTCAGTTAAGAACTGAACACGCACAAGGCACACTTGGTCCTTTTTCATAAAATTTTTAAATCGAATATTAATCTGTAACAATATATACGAATATAATTTGCAATTATATTAATATTCTTAAGAAAGATCTTTTGGACAAACGTTTCCTACTCAGGTAGCCAAGCGGCATATTTGCTTATCGTAATATCTCGTAGTAATCATGTTTTTTAGAATCAGTCCGGGGGCTTCAACAGGTTAAAAGATTCGTCAAAGTTTATCAAATGTGCTTTCGTCGAGTTCAATTGAACAATATTACATATCTTATTGAGACTTACCGCTATTTTCCATCGCAACTTTTCACAGGTGGTGCAAAGCAAAACATTCTTAGCATATAGTTATGGGAATAATTCCGGAGGTTATCACGTCTTAACGCAATTTCCGCATGCATTGCACGAAGCTCCTACTCCTTACAGTTATTCCACAATTCTTCAAATCAACAGCACTTATCTACTCTACAATACATTAGTGCACAATATTCAGTTGTCCTTTTTGCACTGAAAACCAATGAAGAACACTTGCAGATGCCATCCCGTATGTCTTTTTACTATTATTTTGCAAATCAGCTGAATTTTTAAGAGTTGTTCATAACTATAAGTTAGTATTTAGAACTATTTATAATCCACAGCTCAAGTAGCTTGTCACGGTTTTGTAACTCTCTTTACACACAGAAATCCGTGGAGCATATTGCTTTATTATCGCCTCTCATCTCAACGACACTATTTACAAACATTGCAAAGCAAGAGTAAACAAAATACAAAACTTAATATAACTTTCTTTTTCACTTTGACAATAAAGTGCGATTTGCAAAAAGGGAAAAAAATTGGGAAAAAAACTATATTAGCTTGATGACGATTATTTGATACCCACCACCTCGCATCGGTGCACTGGGATTGAAAATCATTAGAAATATTTGTATACTGGCCCTTTAACTAAGATATACTTTCCTTGTGGGAACTGCTTTTGAGCATATCAAGTCACTTTTTAATTGAATCTCCTTGAAAACCTGTAGCAAGTTTCCGAATAGTATGTGATAAAAATTATAGCCTAAAGATTTTTGTTTATTGCAGTCGCGATCGTGAGTCTGTTCATCCTTGTTTCGTGGTCAAACACTACAACAATGAAGGTATGTGAGGAATTATTCAAACTTTCGCGGCCATAAGGTTGTTTAGGCGGCTAGACACAAGAGTGTATGTAAAGGCGAATAAGATCAAATCGTCTTTACTTCTATTACTTCACTACGCCTATTATTTTGCGGGTTTTATGACGCGATTTTTTTGTATTAGTACCGGAAGCACAAATTTACCTTCACTCTTCGCTTGTGGGTATACGAAAGAAAAATTTTAGAAAAAATAACTAATCAACAGGATGTCTACACATTTATGTGCCTTAAATCTTAAATATAAAATTGTATGTACGTTTATCTTACCAAACAAATCGTTTACCGCGAAACCATCGCAAAAACCATAAAAACTTAAATAGTTTATTACAACTGAAAATACATAAGTTTAATTTTAAAATATTAGTAAATATTTAGAAAAATATTTTTTTTCGCATTTCAATTTTTAATTATATATTTATTTATTTAATTGTAATAAATGTGCTTAGTTACTAAATTAGACAGATTATCGGTTGCAAATACGTGTTGCTTACTTATTGAAGTAAAATTAAAAAATAGAACACATTTGAATTATACATACATTTAAGGAGAAATGGCACTATGAGTAAATATTTAGAAATTTACTTTAAATAAATCAGGTTTTCCTCTCACATATTTTTCTTTTTTGTTGGTAGACAATATTTTGAAAAAGACATCAAAATTTCTTAGACTTTTGAATAAATTTAAGTTAACCGAAAAAATGTTACTAGGAAATAAAAAACCCATAAATATAGCAAAGTTCTGCAGCTTTTTGCTTCATCAATATTACCAGCGGTAGACCAGGCTGTTAATTCTGCTTGATTATTGGTAAGTAAATGAGAGAAGAAATCTTTTGAACAATTTTTATAAAACTTTTTAATTTCATTTTTACTGATTATTTCAATACACACCTTGCACTTGACTTATGTAGTTATTGCTGCTGCCCGTACTTTGCCCGACTAACGTTCTATCTTGCAAAGCATACTGGTTAACGTCGGCAGCATAATCTTTATTACTGGTTATGACGTTATTGAATTCATTTTCGTCATTTTCATACCGTTGATAATGATAATTATGATGGTGATGATGATATGCCGCACAAAGAACAATTTTCTCGGTAGTTGTGTAGTAAACATCGCCAATTTGCGCTATGCAGCGGATCTAACGAATTATTAAAAAACAAAAAAATTTTTTAATTGAAATAAAAATTTATAAAATAAGTAAGAAAAAAAAAATTGTAACTTAAAGTGTAGCTCTTCTTTACTGTGATCCTATCAGAGTAAAATTAACCGCGTTACAAGCGAAAAAACCTATGTTGAAGCTCAAGTTATTTAATGTGTAACTTTCGCTTATTTCAAATGTGATTAGAAAATATATAACAAAGCATTCGCAGAAAGACGTTTTGAATTTTCTGAAACCTATCACATGTTCTTATAAGACTCTCTGAAGGGTCTTTCTTTACGTTATAAACAAGATAATAAAACAGGCAAAAATATTATAGCCGGGCAAGACCGACCATTAGCTATCCTACCATAGCTAAATATAATTTGTAATGAAACTATATGTAGATTGATTTTAGTTTTATGGCGACATAAAAAAACGCAAATTAGCCTTTGTTGCCACTTTTCGTACCGCACCAAGATCTTCAAAATATCTCACAAATAGCCATCCGTATGTTGATCGCTGAAATATATGGGCAGAATTTAGACAGACAGCTGGACAGGTGGACAGACATGCGAAAAACATTTTAGAAAATGGTTCCTTATCGATTGATGTAATAAAAATCGTGACGGAAACTTCGCACGTTCGAACAGATTTAACATATCTTGTATCACAAATGCTGTAGGGTGCAAACGTTATAAAAAAGACTATAAACCTTTGAAATTTATATATTATTTTTATGTAGCATACACTATTTATTAAAGAGCACGTATGTTATAACTTAATCGCCTGGGAACAATCCAACTTTAAGTTTCAAGTAAAATGTCAGCACTCTACGTGCCTTTGACATTTTGAGAAATGCTTTATATATTAACTTTCAAATTTTAATATCATTTACAGATCAGAGCCGTCGTTTGAAACAGTCTCAGTAATTAATATAAATTTTTTATAGTGATGCATGCGTGCCATTCTTGGATTAATCTAACGGAGGCCGCTTGGTTAATATACTAGCATTGACTATTGGTATAGAGTTTATATAATTTTAATAACGCTTTCTTACCTTCATTTTTCCCTTTTGAAAGTGATGCTCATTAACGACAAAATGCAAAGCAATTACAGATGTTTGCATTTCACTTTTAGAATCTCGAAGTACTTTAAAATGGCGGACATGGGAAGGCTGCACCTAAAAACGAAAACGAAAGCGCAGATAAAAAAGATGTATATAAACTTCATATGTAAGAAAAAATTTATTTCGTTCATTCTATCACTTTGTTGTTGTCAATACAACTACATTTTTATTATTCATTTTTTTTAATAGTAATAATAATATTTTAGCATTTATGAATGCACGCGTCAGAATCGAACTGAACTTAAATGTCGATTCACAGTGTACGTTTCAATTGCTTTGTAAATTCTTAACGATAATTGAGAGTACAAATGTTTATCGCACTAAATAACCCAATAGTTTATTAGTGTTATCAACTCTCATGCAAACGCATTCAATTTGTTACAACAACAAAAACAAAAAGAATAACGGCAGTATGAACATGAAAAGCAAAAGTAACAACGTTTGCCTGCTAACTGTGTCATTCGACAATTGTCACATAAATATTATTGTGTGTGAGGACATACACTGGGTTAAAAGAGAAAGGAACGACAGACTGCTTGACTAACTAACTGTACCCCAAAGATGCTATCATTGGTAGAAATCCGTTTATACGTATGCGCTTATGTGCATACGAATGCCATAAAGTAGTTTTTGTTTTGCTTACCTCTTCATTATTCACTGTCCATGTGAGATTTGCTGCTGGCTTCGAATGGCGCGATGTACAATTGCCGCGCAATATATCACCGTTATGGTAACGTGACCGAATGCCAGTGATAAGTGGCTGATGGTGTGGCAATTCTGTGCATAAACATATAAATAGTAACAGAATTTTAATTTCACATTCGTCCCCCTTCATATCACCATCGGTTACGGATTATAATTCAATAGAAATTAAACTCATGTCATTGAAATTGAATGGAAAATAAAAAACTAAATAAAATTTCGGCAAAATTTATTGATAGACTTACCAACAACTTGCAATTCGCCAGCTGCTATCAATGTATGGAATGACGGAGCATCTGCTGATACTTCGCAACTATATTTGCCAGCCGTAGCCATAGTGGATGAATCCAATACCAAGTGTGTTTCATTTGAAGTGGAACGCTAAACAATATGGTGAAAAAAAAAATTTTTTTTTCGTTTGCTTTTCTTTTTTAACAGAAAATACCAATTTTCTGTAAACTTACATCCACTCGTACGCCAGGAAATTGGAAAACTTGCATTGGAGGCTCTTCGCTGGGCGTATAACGATAGAATTCTCTACGCCCCTTATACCATTTCACTGCATATAGTGTATCATCCTCAATGTCATAGAGACACTTCAATATGGCTTTTTGTCCGCGCCGTATAGTATGCGGAATTTTCACTCGTACATCACGTAAACTGTAAGATTCTGTAAAATAAAGCAATAGTGAAGCAATCTAGAGACAAGCGTGCGTGAGAAACTATGTTGCTGAGAAAATGATGATTATGTCAGGCTGACAAATTGACAGGCATAAGTAATGAATTATTCGGAAATGAACGATTGCTGTAATAAACGATGAACTATGAAGGGAAAGAAAAGAATTTTCAAAAACAACACTTTTTCGACTGTTTCTCTAATTATGACGTCAGCGTATTTACATTTCTGTGAAAATCTTAAGCTAAAAGTAGCCGAAAATTGCAAAACGTCATAAAAACTTACTCAGATATGATGAGCAGGGGCTGGGTATGTATTATATGATGAGTCATTTTTTTTTTTTCAATTGATTTGTTTGTTCATACAACAATCAGTGGGGGGACAAATATTGGCTAGAATCACTTCTCTTTGTGATTTTATTTACTTATGCCATAATTTAATAGAATGTTTATAGTTTGCTTAGCAAATATCAACCACTTTCGTGATGATGAAAAAATCTTGTTGTTATCCAGCAGAAGAGGGTGACTTAAAGTTGCTAATAACGATTTAAGAAAACGCTTTTGGTTTAAGGGTTGCTGTACTCGATATGTTAAATTATTGCGTAAATATTTTCGTTAAATTAAAATAAAAAAACTTAACTCTTCATACATATAGAAGGCTGTGAACAACTTTGAAGTGGTGGTTATTGTGTGTTGTTACAGTTTATTCCATGTTTACACTAACGGGGTTGACAAAAATTGAAAGTGAAGGTTTTAAATATTTTCTCTGTATTGTTTATTGATTAGAGGGAAAATATATCTCACAAGGATCACCATTAAATCTTTAAAATTCTTATCAGAAATCTAAAGAAACTTTCTTAAATAATTGTTAAATTTATAAATTTATGCAATTTGACAATCCTTTTTGCACTAAATTGGTTTATATTGGTTTAGTTTATGATTAAAAAGAAATTGATAGAGCCTTAAACAAACATTTCGATATTATTGCCAATAGATTATGTTTACATTTTCCACATTTTTCATTACTTGCATGTGCAAATATATTCATATTGTGCAGACGTAAGCTATAGCCTGAAGCTTATTTAACCTATTTAAACACATTTCATAAAATTTCTTCCTCTTTTAAATTAAAATTTTTTAGAGAAAATCTTTACAAATTTCTATATCGAAATTTGCTTTGCAAATAAAAAAATATTACAGTCAGCCACAAGACGTCACCAAAATTATCGATTTGATTGAGAAATTTCTAAGAGTCTTTGCAGATTAAGCAGTCAACGTCTTCTGAAATTAACACTACAAGTATTTGTACGGTAAAAGGAAGGTGCTTTGTGCGTGGCTACGAAAAAGGGATAAATAAAATCTGTGCACACTGATTCACTGACTGCAGCTACCTGCCCATATAGATGTCATATAAAACTACATTTTCGTTCATAAGAAGTTTTTTTAGCTTGCTTGGCATGAATATGTAGTACGTTATATAAGATTCTAAACCGTAGAAATTATCAACATGAATTTTATTTTATTTTAGATATTGTCTCATGCCATTTCTATTTAAAAATGATTTCATATAAATGGCCGATCACCTTTGGGCTTCTGTGAAAACTCAATCCTGGCAAAATACTTCTCTCGGATAAATGTGTTCTTCTTTCACTCATAACATGAATAATCTTGGTGAAATATGTCAGAGAGCTAAACATCATCTAAAACAATAACAGACACAAATACACTATAACTCCAATTATTCACTGTTTGAAGGTATTGCATCTGCTGTAACTCCACCTTGATAAAATAGAGAGAGAGAGAGAGAGAGAGAGAGAGAGAGAGAGAGAGAGAGAGAGAATGATTACTGATCTCAATTTTCTTAGGTTTGGGTCAAAAGAATTTCTCAAACATTTATTTATTTTATAATGTGCGTCATTGGTCGCGACTTCTCTTCTAGATGCGTTTTCGAAGAGGCAACGAACCGTTTCACAGAGCACCAGCGAAGTATACACTTTTCCAGTTCAGGTCGCTATCAATACGTAGCTCAACTCAAATATCTCTTCGCTGCAATAAGGCTTGTTCCCATTAGGATGTATCTTGCCTCAAAGGCTTTTGAAAACAATTTCATTAAGGTAAGCTAAAAAGTTGATGTTAACCATGTCACCTGCAAACGCCTTAGTTACTTTTCTCGAAACAGTGGTGAAAGACTTAAATACAGTGTATTGTTATTCCTAAGGTCCGTAATTTGATACATAGCAATTCTTGATTAAGGACAAGAAGGAGATTATTGAAACCGCAAGCACTCAAAATCTGCGACTATTGCCTTGTTTACATAAAATTAGAGAGAATTTCTTTAAAAGAACCGAAATTTTTTCTTCTTCTTTTTTCATACAAATCAGTTTTAACCGCACAAAACATAAGAGGAAATGAATAAATTTCTTTATTTTACTTTTTCTTCTGGTTTTAAAAAGGTTTTTTGATATAAATTTTTGATTGCTTTAAGGCAGAATGATTACAAAATCAATCGTCAACAGAGATTTGAAAATTAATTCGTTCACCTTTAACACGCCATTTGCACACATCTTAGAACTTCATTTACACTTGAAGTTTGATTTTTTAAAATAAAATGTTAGAATTTAAAAATTAATTATTGTTCCCATTACTTTATATGATACAATGCTGTTTCCAACATTGTTTGAGAGGCGTACCGCAAGAGCGTGGCGATTCGTTGTCAGTTAGTTCTTTATTTTATTAATACTAGTAGTTCTAATATAAAAATCGCTCAATGTCTTTTTTTTAGTCTAAGAATTTATTTCATTAGTCTAAAATTATAATAATAATAATGATAATAATAATAATATAAAATAATAATAATAATTTAAAAATTTAATTAATTCAATAAATACTGCGTTGAATGAAAAGAAACAAAAGGTTGAAAAATTGTTCAAAAATTATATCTGATGTACACATATGGCGTATTCGAAGCTGAAGTAAAGGTTCAATAATAAAACTCCTAGTCTCAACAGCAAGGGAAAACGAGGAACATTTCTTTTAGTCATTTGAAAGCAATGTTGACGTACTTCAATCTTTGGAAGAAATATGAATCTAAATATTTATGAAAATATAAATTTTAAAGATAAAGTAGGATGCGCTCCGGCAATGGAGGCTATTGGCCCTACTTTTCAAAAAGATAAACTAGATGATTCGTTAAATCCTTTTAACAAAATTAAATATTTTGTTGAGGCTATATTCCCTAGGTACTTTCAAGGCGTCAAAAAGGTTGAACAGAGCGCATGTGAATTTTCGAATTTTGAAAATATGTGATACTCACGAAGTATTCGTTTAATCGTAAAATCTTGACCGCAATTACAAAGTGGAGGGCCAGACTTCTTAAAAATCCATTGGTGCGTTACAATGGTATCGCCAAGGTAAATTCGTATCAATTTGTTAGGATTATGATAAGAACAGTATGCAGGTCAATGTTTTTCCGTGTACCATTTGCTGCTTGCACATTTCCCGAGGGGTCTTTACGATTCGGTCTATTAAGGATTTTAATTTTAAGTGGCAATAGTATTCCTTTCCTTGCAAATGGTGTTCCAGATGAAATTTGAGGAGTTACGAATACCTTCTATGAACAACAAGCTATCTGTGATGGTAGCCGTCTTGAATTTGTTTTTCCGAGTATCCTTCAAAGATAGCTTTACTTCACTCACAGTAGTTTGTATTGAAATCTTGGGGAGATACTTAGCTAATCGTTATTTATTTTCGAATACGGAATCATATATATTTTGACTTTTTTGGCAATAATAACTAAGGTCTTCGCAAAACGTTGAACAGATAAAGTGATTATTTTGGCTTTTAACTCATAGACCCGATTTTCTTAAGCTGGGAGGTACACGGTAATGACGTTGTTGATAGATAGTAGGACATACATTCACGTTTGCGTTCGTGAAAACAAAGAAAGCATTTATTAAAAATTATTAAATATAAATTTCGCATACCGAAAACGGTACCTGTGGCTGGGAAGTGAAATAGTTTCAATGCCGCTCATTAATAAATTTCATTTTAAATTTTATAGAAAAACTATACGAAAACTAGAAGAAAGACATAACTAAGAAAATTTATGCGCGAACTTGAGTCGTTCATCAACGAAGACCCCAATAATAGTTTTGCTAAATTTGCTAAGTAAATAGTACGGTAGAAAAAGAAAGGAATAATTTTCAATATCAAAGTAAATAATTTGCCATTAAATGCTGTATTCGTTGGTATTATAATCAATTTGGCCTTAAAGACTTTGTTTGTTTGGACCTATTAGAGTTTGTGTGTACCTGCTGCCGCTACTAATATTGATTGTGATTCAAATTTCGAGTTCTTTTTCGTCCTATCTCTTCGCCTTATCTGTCACCGTTTCTCTTCATCTCTCTCTGTCGCGCACAAGCTCCTTCTTGTTGCCAGTTCTTTTGCCGTCTTTGCAAACGAATCATTCATTGAGCGTAATTTTTCAACTTACAAAGTAAATGCAATTGTACATATTTGCTTTTCTCGATTTTTCTGACTATTATTTAATGATGTTTTACAGGCACTCGCAATCGTACACACTCACATGAGCACAAACAACCTAAGAGAGGCACGCAAATACTGGTACATTTTGACTTGTTCATTTTATACCTCTTTAATGGTGTTCGCCTATTATGCTGGCATGATAAATGTTTACATTACCATATACAAGCATACCTACATGCATATTTGTACACATTTATATTCATGTAGATGTAGGCACAAACACTACTACACAGATAAATTTTTAAATATAAAATAAATGAAATTAAAAGAAATATACTTTTTGGTGTTAGGACAATAGCGGCGCTGTGACAAGAAATTTTTAATTTCAGAAATTACATAAGTACACAGTGAACACATACACGATCAGACTAAGTATTCATTTTACATCAGTCTACTTTTATATGTTTCATAAATTATTAATCTTATTTTATTCCCTTCCTGGTCACGTTG